TAACAACCATCATAAATGCATCTTTGGAACAAGGAGTTTTTCCAACGAAATGGAAAGAATCTCTTCTGCGGCCTCTTATCAAGAAAATGTCATTAGATCGAGATGAATTTAATAATTTTAGGCCAATCTCAAATTTAGCATTTCTCTCCAAAACACTCGAAAAGATTGTTGCTTCCCAACTTGACACCTACTTAACAAATCATCAATTATATGCCAAGATGCAGTCAGCGTACAGAATCCATCACAGTACAGAGACAGCACTACTTAGAGTTGTGAATGACGTAATGAGGGGGATTGATGATCAACAAGAATGTGTTCTAGTGTTACTTGATCTTTCATCAGCATTCGACACAATTGATCACGACATTTTGCTTGACAGGCTGTGTAATCGTTATGGTCTTTCGGGGGTAGTTCTGGATTGGCTAAAGTCTTACCTTTGTGATCGCCCTCAGCGCGTGGTCGTAGATAATGTTTCTTCACGACCGTGTTTCGCTAGCTGTGGGGTTCCGCAGGGATCTGTTTTGGGACCATTGTTGTTCTCTTTGTACATTGCTCCCCTCGAAGATGTGATCATGTCCCATGGAATAGATGCCATGATGTATGCTGATGATTCTCAACTTTATATTTTTCTGAATCGTAATAACTGCATTATCGCAACTGAAAAGTTGGAAGCCTGTATTGACGACATTATGAATTGGATCACTTGCAATATGGTTATGGGCAATCCATCAAAGACGGAAGTAATTCATTTTTATTCACGTTACATGAAACCTGATTGTCCTCTTCGTCCCATCAAAGTAGGAGGGCATGATGTACAACCCGTAAACAAAGTAAAGGATCTAGGAGTTACACTCGATTCCTGCCTTACTTTCAAAGTGCATATTAATAACATATGTCGTTCGGCTTCACAATCAATACATCAAATTGGCAAAATAAGAAAATATCTTTCACGAAAGGACACCGAAAGTCTTGTTCATGCTTTTATTTCATCCAAACTTGACTGTTGCAACGGCGTGCTCTACGGCCTTCCTTCTTGTGAATTACAGAAGTTGCAAAGGCTACAAAACACTGCTGCCAGATTAGTCGTCAGAGAAGGGAAATCTGCGCATATAACACCGGTACTTTCTAATCTCCACTGGCTTCCTGTGCAACAACGAGTGACTTTCAAACTCCTTTTGGTGACCTATAAAGTTCTTAATGGCATTGCCCCTTCATACATCACCGATCTACTTCGTCGTCATATCCCTGCCCGTACTTTGCGCTCCAGCAGTCAAAATTTGTTAACTATGCCTAGAGTGCGAACAGAGACATATGGCGAGAAGTCTTTTTCCTGCGCTGCTCCGAGACTTTGGAACAATCTTCCTGACTCTATTAAGCAAAGTCCAACTATCGATGAGTTTAAATTAAGGCAAAGTTGAAAACATATCTTTTTAGGATAGCTTTTACTGAGTAACTGTTTTTAGATTTTTAGATTCTTGTTGTAAAAAGCATTGAGACTCATGTATAATGCGTTTTAAAGAACAATTATATTATTATTATACACCTGCGTTATAAATAATCCCTATCTATCCATTGTGATAAACTTAGTCATGCAAATTCGTATTGCCGTAATCCCCTTAATTACCTACACCTCCTAATGACTTAGCAACACATAACAACGCAACATTTGCAAAGTTTAAAACATGTTTATTGATACAAATAACAGACGATAGCGTCAAAATAAATTACAACTAAGACTGTTTGTTAAACTGTTCTACAAGATTTTTCTCCAAGAATCCTTGATAAGCTTTCTTATGATCTGCCTCAAAACTTCTAACTCGTTCACCCGTCGCCTTCACATAATACATGTAACTCGGTGGGTACGAAAAAAACGCCCCTTCAGCTGTTGACTCGAGCGGGTCTTCTAATCTCCAATGAAACAAATAGTTCAATATACATTGTAGTTCGTGGTTCTCAGTGGTCTGATGTAGTTCCATCAATGAATCGACAAACATAGAATCTGGGTCTTTTTCCAGTTGCTGTAAATGTTCGAGTACATCTCTGTCAACCGCCAGTTTTAAGCCCCGTTTACACTACGCTCAATTTTTGGTACGGCACGGATAAAAGTGGTACCCGTACCACTTTTTTGGTTCGTGGACTACCTATTTAGGTAGTCCAAAAACCAAAAAGTGGTGCAGTACCAAAAATTGAGCGTAGTGTAAACGGGGCTTAGCTAAATAGGTTGTCCAAGAACCAAAAAAGTGGTACGGGTACCAATTTTATCCGTGCCGTACCAAAAATTGAGCGTAGTGTAAACGGGGCTTTAGTACCCTCATTGCCTCAGCGAATTCATACGCTTACCATTCACTCGTTCGATCGCTTGTAAACCATATATTTGCCATCGTTCGTTTTCGTTCATCATGAGGCAGTCATGTTGTCTTTGACTAGGATAACCGACTTGACAACCATTACAGGATTCCACACAAAGTCTTTCAACTTCTTGTGCGACTGCATTCGCAAAAATTCCTTCCAATAAATTGTAAGATGTGGTTTTACCATGTAGACACGCCATGACTGATGTGGAACAAATACAAAACTATGCCTGCTACAAGACACTTGTCGATTTTATACAGATACTTGTATAAAAGTTCATAGTAAGCCAACATTAAGCCCTTTTTTGTATCATACACGTGGGGAGGACGCTGAAAAATGCGTAGTCAGCACGTTTCACCCGATCGTGTTTAAGCTCGCCCGCCTGACGTCATTACTTGCCTGATCCTACCCGCGTGACGTCATTGCATGTAATTATGACGTATGCTAATGATGATGCGCCGCCCCGCGCCGCCCTAAAAATCCGGGTCGAACGGCCTCTATATTACTACTGCCCTGACAAAAAATTCCCATATAAACACTTCATCCCGGCTAGGCGGGATGAACTTTTCCCTTTTGAGCATGCGTAAATGCCTTTATTGCAACAAAAATATGACGTCAAGCACTTAAATGGCTTCATCCCGGCAATGTATTTTGTCCATATAAACACTAGGCGAATTTCTCGTCTAGGTGGGATGAAAACGTCGCGTCCCGTCCAGGTGGGATCATATAAACAGGCCCTAAGTTATTTATGAATTTCGCCTTGACTTACAAATTCCAATGAACAACCTATGTGATCATTAAACTGAAATGTTTCGTTCTCCTTGTAGAAATAGATGAACAATGCAATACACATGGAACTTGTAAATTGAAAGTGGACGAAGAGCGACAATGCGTAGAAATAAAATGCGATTGTTTCATCGGATATAGTGGCGATAAATGTGAAGTGGAAGGTAGGTTATATTGCAGCTATAGAGCCCAACTGCTCAAGGAGCGAAAACTTTGATTGTGAAAAATTACTGCATGTCATAAACATATGCACCTACTGAACTTTTATCTACTAAAGCTATAGACTCAGGGACGCCGGGACTGGGGGGGCAGGGGCGGGGCAGGGGGGCTAGGGGGGCAGGGGGGCAGAAGTGCCCTTTTAGTTGTAAAATACTACGTGATAAATCACATTTCCAGTGATGCTTTTTCTGGGAAAATCATGAGATTCAGGTAATTTATAGGCCCAGAGAGAGTAAATTAACAAAAATAATTGTGAATTTGGTAAAGAATGAGTTTAATTTACAAAAATTTTAGAAAATGTTTGGACCCTAAAATGGTACACTGACCGAAAATTTTTTGGCCACGGGGGGGGGGGGGGGGGGGAGGAAAAAAAAATTTCCGGTAGATTTTAAACTTTTGCTCTATAGAGGTGCCCTTGGTGTGCGTCTGCCCCCCTTTGCCTTATTATCGTTCCGGCGTCCCTGGCTATAGTATGCTGGATTTGAAATTTTTAATTTTTTAAAAGATCAGAGAGAATCATGTGAAATTCAGTACTACGTACGACCAAATGACGCGCCCAGTCCATCGTCAAATAAGAGATAAGAGATAAGAGATAATTTAATTTGCCACAGATATCAGTTATATACAAGTTATTTTATGATAATAATATAGTTAATTTTAAATAGTCAATATGTATACACCATAAAATAGCTAGATATCTAAAATTCATAAAGAAAACATCCCGACCTGCTTTCTTCCACTTCTTGCAGAAACAGACTGCAATCAAAACAGTGATTGCAAAAATGATGGAATATGTGACTGTAGCAAACAGTGTACATGCGCCTCGGGATTCAAAGGTGTATTTTGCTACGAACGAGGTAAACATTGAATTTACTGAACTTAGCTTTGTTTACAACAGAGCTATTAATATCACAAAATATTTACAGGTGATCTTTAATTCCGTAGGCTGTACTATATATGGCTATAGACCAAAAATAATCTACATCGTACTTGAATGTTTGATTTAAGTTTTAAGGCCATGCATGCAGAGATGATTTGTGCAGATTTCAAGTCAATAGGAAAGTTATTCCAAGTCTCAAGTCATAAGACAAGAGATTATTTCAGGAAATTAGCATTAGACTTACGCTTATAGATAAATATTAAATAATGCGAAACTAAATTCGCTCTGTCTTGCACTGTAGTCATGGACTTAATTTATATTGGTGAAAACCTCTATTATCGCCCTTGCTCGATCCGATAAACTTGTCTAACTTCTGTTGTCTTTCCGAGTATCTTTTCAGAGAGGATGTCTAAACAAACAAACAAAAGAAATAACGATTTTTCTAAAATGTTGTTCAGAGTGGCGAGGCTAATTTCGAAACCATAGATTGTCGAACACCTTGTTTAAAATACATACACACAGCACTATACATATATAGCTTTTTTAGCAATTGCATGCATCCAGTTACAAGCCAGTGGCCAAGTGGTACTGGTTTAGGGTGTGTGTTGTACAACATGTTTCCGTGTTTTTGTTGCAGAACACCAATCCTATATTAACTTCCCTCGCATTCATTTTGCTGGAAGATTCCAAGCTGATCCGTCGACCATAAATAATTATCCAGATAATTTTGACACGGATAACTTTCCCGGGCAAAGTAAGGGATGGAATCCAAACGGAAGTGCAACATGGCGACTGGTGGACACACGAATTACAAGAGTTTGTTATGCAAACGAAGTTTGCACTTCTTTGGAAACCGATGACGCGCTTAACAACAAATTACTTGAAGGTAAGTGTTCTCAGAACTTGAGGTAAAGTCAAGACCCAAGGAGCGACATTCGCTTCCTTTTGGTGAGCTGTAATTCCATTTCCAAGAGATATGCAATTAATGCAAATGATAGGTTAAGAGAACGAACGAACATACTTGAACTTTCACCTATTCCAACAAGCAACGTTCTCCATATCCTAGTATTGTGAGAACATGACTGCAACAACAATGCAACGTAGTTTCCGATTCTTCACCCTTGCCGGAGGATCGGAGTTGCATTTTTTTGCAACGTTTCCGATTTGGTCTCAAATCGTATGTTTCTGTTCCCTCGTTCTCCTGACCTATACCAATGCTACCATTTACAATTAAGTCAGTTGGAAAAAAAGTAAGGAAGTGCGCAATCATATAATCCACAAGAATTGCAATTGTCTCACTTTTTGAATCAATTATATGTGCTTGAAATTAGCACATTCGCAACGAATGGGTTGAATTAGTTCTTCACCGAAAAAAATATAATCTGTTGATTCTATTCTTTCTAAAATACAGATGGTAATTTTGGCGCAAGTGCAAAGCTGGTTGATTTTGATGTGGATTTCCAAGCGTCGTCCCAAATTTATGGGTGGTCAATGCAAGTTAAAGACTTTTTTAAAGGAGATTTTCAGCGCGTTGGATTTCAGTATTTGTGGTCAAAAATGAAAGTTAATGTCCATAGTTTGGCAATCTATGGAGCTGCATATCAAAGTGTTCTTACAAATGTTCAGTTTGGGTCAAGAAGCGGGGCTTCGCCGATAACGAAGCACTTAGAGGAATATTTGAATCACAGTGACAAAAAAGAATTATCAATTCGTTTTAACGTTGACATGTACGATTCTTTTGGTACCTCAGCTAACTTCACTTACGGAAGAATTGTTGGTTCCATAGGCATTTCAGGTCACGATTCGCCGCCTTATTTCACATTTGGTCGTATGCTTAAACCAAATAATAATCCTTCAAATTTTTGGTTTTCTCCTTTTATTTACGACTATGAAAAGAAAACCCTCTTGCTTGACCTGGGTAATAGTTTGGCTATCAAAGAGGACGGAAATATTGTGAAATCAATTGGAAATTTGGTTCTGGCGAATACAGATGAAACGAGTGACACAATTGGATGTCCCGACACATGGAATCCATTTGGCCATATATACTTTAGTGACTTAGAAAATTACGCGCTTACAGCTGGAATATTTAAGATTGATGTGGGAGAAGAGGATTTGAGAAAATCCAGAGTTATTTTGGCGCAGGTACGGTACTTGATTTTTCTTCAATTTATGGTTGTTGAATATAAGCTCACTTCTTGCATTGTATTTACCCATCCACTGCAAATCTGCCACTTTGTAGGTAGGTATGTCCATTGGATCCATTGTAAAAGTGAAATTTCTATTGACCATATGACTCTTGATCCATTGGACAAGTAAAATAACTATTATATCGACATATGACTGTCCATTGGCTCTATTGGCCAAGTAAAATTTTCATTGGACATATGACTGTCCATTAGATCCATTAGACAAGTCAATTGTTCATTGGGCATTGGACTCTCCATTGGCTATATGAAATGTTCATTGGGCATTGGATCGTCCATTGGCTCCATTGGCCATGTGAAATATTCATTCGACATAGGACTGACTGTCCAATGGATCCATTAGACAAGTGAAATGTCCAAGGGGCATTGGGCTGTCCATTTATACGTATTTGGCATATATTAAGCCAATTGAATTTCGCGGACTTTCACGACCGAATTTCACGACCGTTGAAATTCTGTGGAGATTGTTGAAGCATATTAACTTTCTCTCTCCGCCCGTAACTCTACCACAATGAGCCTGCAGGCTACCATAAATATTCTTTATGAAGTTTTTTATTGTCTGGTCTGATTTGCAGATAGATGATAACGGACGTTGTACAAAGGTTGTTTTGGCAGAAGACAAACAGGGTGTTGATATCCACCCTTCCACACGTTGGGTCCTCCGCAGTATATATAAGCCTGCAAAGCCTGTGATTGTTCATTTGTTTATGACTCTGTACGGAAAATATCCTGAACAAATTGGTTCGGTTACGATAAAAGTGAATCCGCCACTTCCAGAAGAATCGATAAAAGAAACTTCTCCTGGAGTTTTTGAATTGAAACCGACCATTGACGACCCAAAACATGCTCGACTTTTCATAGATGGACAGGTCTATTTTTTCCACTATTACCTAGATGGTAGAACCAATGACAGCGACGTTAATTCAGCTATTGTGATACTTGTCTGGGACAAATTTGAAGTTCCAACTCAGCCCAACTGGATCAGACATGTAAAACCGATTTTCCAACAGTATGCAAATTTGTACCCGGTGATGAAAATTAACTTCCTGGACCTTTCAAATTATTACGAAGTTGTTGAAAACAAGTACGCACTCATAAAGACCATGTCGCTTGACGAGGAAGATCCGAGTTATATGCCTGTCACAAGAGATTTGTCTCCTGGCAAAGTTCAGATGATCTTAAAGTGGCTAATGGATGATAATCCCAGATATGGATTTTCAAACCTCGGAATAGGGGAATACACTTTGAAATACTTTTTGCAGACAGCACTGCAGTTGGAACACTCGACAATTCCACCATATTTGACAGGTTACCTTTCAATTAAAAAGGGTTATAATACCCAGGTGAAAAGCATATTGAAAGACATTTTAATTGATGAAATGCACCACTTGGCTCAAGTGTCTAACATATTGAATGCAATTGATGGAAACCCAAATTTGTTTGCCCCACATTTCGTCCCGTCATATCCCAGCTATCTGCCAGGTGGAGTTCACCCGGATATCAAAATCACTGTAAACAAAATATCAATGCTTCAAATTCGTAATGTGTATATGGTTCTGGAGACCCCGTCTAAAGAACTCGAAGAAAATGGATTGATTAAGGCGGTTGACAAGATTGTTAAGGATACGTTAAAACAAGTATCTGTCTCTGAGACCTCCACTGAGACTGACGCATGCGATGATGTTTTAGCATTGTACAATGACGCTGTGAAGAAGAATGAGGATATTCGAACAAACCACAATACATTTGGTCAATTGTATACCGCAATCCTAATCGTGATGGCAAAGCTTGAATGTGATGGTAAATTAGAATTCAAAGGCACGAAGCCGCAGCTTGAAGTTCGAGGGGAAGGAGGAAAGGAGGTGTCAACAGTTTATGACTTTGGAACCGCCGTGCAAGCTATAAAGAACATTATGAAAGAGGGTGAAGGATCTTCGCCATGCAATCCGTTGGATGAGAGCTCAGGCTTATCTCATTACTACAAATTTGCATCAATAGCAAACAAACGTCATTTAAAAACGATCAAAAGCAAGGTTAGTTCAAGGATTTAAATTCCGTTAGGTGACTGTGAAATTTTATTAAGATGATCTTACCGTGTAAAAATCAACTGGTGGTGTGCAACAAATCTGCCTTTTTTAGTGCATTAACCTTGAAAACGATATTTAAACGTGGTTATATTATCCAGAGTTGGCATAGTATTCTACAGAAAGCTGTAGTAGCCAGTTTGTCCTTCACAGATTAACTTTGCATTATCATATTCACCGGAGTACATCACACCAACACAGAAGAATATTAAGGTTTGTTGATGAATAATGAGTCATCGTTAAGGAGAAATATTCTCCTTGTTTTCGTTTCTGTAAACGAGGTATGTCAAAAACAGAAGGTCTCTTGATTTTCTGAGACGTTAGGAGACAAAGTTTCAAGTGACTTAAATGAATAATTTCAAGAAAATACTTTGTTGTTGGATGACTCATGATTCAAAGTTCTTTCCAATAGCACTATAATTAGAATAACGTATTTCTCACTTCATATGCCCACTGACCTATACTAAAAGTATATGCCAGTGCATATGTCCCTACTGAATAATTGTTGCATTGATTTCATTGCGTAAAAATTAGTGGCTTTACCAAATTGTGTAAATAATCAAATTGATTTGTTTGCTAACATCCTGAAATAATTGAAGTAGCCTTCGTGGTTTTCCTCTCGCAATTCTTTAACTAGTGTAAAAAATTCACTTAATTGTGCTCTCGTTTGGAATATTGGTCTTACCCAAAACCGTTTTAAGTATTTGGTACGTCGTTTTCGTCGACTTCGCAATAACAACGTACAAAAGCAATAATTGCTTTCTGCTAAGCGCGATTTTGAACTTTGAACTCTTCCCGCCACTACCTAGCCTGCGAACGGGCATTTCATGAGCTATGAGATTGGCGTGTGGTAGAAACGGGACTGGCATTCGTGCGTGTACTCGCAGCGAGCTGCAAGGAGCTTCGTGCGTGGACTGGAAATCCGCCTTAAAACACAAAATCTCTGCAAAATTGTTTGCTGTCGAGAAAACGTACATTAATAAGTTCTTTGAATGTTTGCATGGCGATAAAATATAATTGTTTTTGTTTGTGGAAACACCACGTAAATTTATTACTGCAAAGCTTTCGATCCGTAAGCCCGGATCGATTGTCCTAATTTTTACGGAATAGTGCGGTTTAGATATTTTCATAAAACTCAAGGCCGAGACACACCGGACGCGATTCGAGAACGCAGCGCGATTTTTCAGTTTTTGAAAGTTAATTCACAGAAAATGAAAGTTAGACCAAGCAGCTCAAAATGTTATAGCGCTCCTAAATATTTGGAAAATTTAAACCAGGATGAAAGTTATCAGTCAGTGAAAATAAAAAATTCGCGATAGCGCTGCATAAGATCAAATAAATATGCGAAGCCCGCTTAGCTCAAAAGATTGATAGGTCAAAAATAAAGTAACACACTTAAACCTTTCGCGAATGAATTTGCTTCATTAAATAGTATGCACTAAATAGGCCTATGTAGTTGTAAAAATAATCGTTGGGTTAAAATTTAAAACTTCTAGTCATTTAGTGTGTTTGTTCAACGATATACAGTAATACAGACTTGCTTTCTGTTTTGAGCTTAACCACCGTTTAACCTTCGTTCAACCGGCTCCCTGTAATTATGTTTATTCAATATTAAAGCTTAAATTACCTTACCTAAGCAATTACCTGATTATATGGTCACAAGAAGTTTTAAAAATTATTCTTCTGAAGCTAAAAACGATCTAGAACAGCTTATCTGGCAAGAAAATTAATTGACTATATGATGTTAACCAGAGATTAGACAATTTTAATCAGAAATTTCCAAGTGTATTAGATATGCATGCCCCGACTGATAAAGACTGTTAAGATTAAACGTCGCTTGCAGTGCCTTTTTTAATTATATATCTGT